TCTCCTTGAGGACTAAGATGCACCTGGCAAAAGCCATGATATTTCCAATCACCTCGTATGCATGTGAGAGCTGGACAATGAATAAGGAAGACCGAAGAAGAGTTGATGCTTTTGAGTTGTGGTGCTGGCGAAGAATGCTGCAGGTGCCATGGACTGCCAAAAGAACTAACAGATCTGTTCTGGAAGAAGTGCAGCCAAGATGCTCCTTGGAAGTGAGGATGGCCAGACTTTGTCTCACCTACTTTGGTCATGTTGTCAGAGGGGACCATTCCCTAGAGAAGGATATCATGCTTGGTAGGGTGGAGGGTCAACGAAAGAGGGGAAGGCCTTTGACGAGATGGATTGACGTGGTGGCTGCGACAATGGGCTCAAGTATAGCAAGGATCATGGAGCTGGCGCAAGATTGGGCGATGTTTCGTTCTGCTGTGCATGGGGTCGCTATGAGTCAGAAGCAACCCTACGGCACCTAACAACGACACATAGTACTTTTACTCACCTAGTGACAGGAAAGAACATTCATATTATTTTTTAAGTTCAGGAATACTCTTTCCTTCTGAAAAAGTAATAACTTGATTTCAGGTTGTTAAGGACTGAAGAAAAAAAAAACCCACACTAAATAAAAACTGAAAACTCAAAAACTTATACTAGAGTTTTCTTAAGGGTGGGAAAAATTTAGACATTTAGTTTATGTTTATTGAACATGTCATGTATTATACATCAGGGCTTTTTGAATTATTTTAAGCATTCATAATAAATATGTGGTACATTGACTCATTAATTCCATGAATACTTACTGAGTGACCTACTGTGTGTCGAGCTCTGGAGATAGAGCAGTGAACAGACAGATAAGGTCCCTGCTTTCATAGAGCTAGGAGCTCTGGTGGCACAGTGCCTAAGACATTTGACTGCTAACCAGAAGGCTGGTGGTTCAAACCCACTAGCCACTCCTCAGAAGGAAGACTGGGAAATCCACTTCCATAGAGATACCGCCTTGGAAACCCCAGGAGAGGTCACTGTGAGTTGGGATCCGACTCAACGGCAGTGAGTTTGGTTTTTTGGTTTCATAGGGCTGACTTTCCAGTGGGAAAGACAGAAAATAAACACCTAAAACATGACAGGAAATATACCAGATGACGATAAAATGTTCTATAGTGAACTGAAGTTGGGGGTGTGATAGGCTGACTGGATGGATCTTTTCAATCAGAGTGGTGGTCAGGGAAGATCTCTCAGAGCAGGTGACATTTCAGCTGAGAGCTGAGTGACTGGAAGGAGCCATTTTGCAAAGAGCAGGGAAAGAGCCTTTCAGGCAGAGTGACCAGCTAGTGCACAGACCCAAAGCAGGAGCAATCAAAGGATTGCCAAGAACAGACAACAAGGCCTTTGTCTTGTACGTCAGCATTCATTGCAGCGTTATACACAGATCCAAAAGGTGTATGAACCCAAGTGTCCATCAACAGATGCATGGATAGACAAAAGGGGGTCTATCCATATAGTGGAGTATTATTCAGCTGTAAAGGGAAATGATGTGCTGATACATACTGCAACATGGTTGAACACTGACACCATTGTGATGAGTGTAATAAGCCATACGTGAAAAGACAAGTATTATGTGATACCTCTTCTATGAAATATCTAGAGTAGGCAAATACATAGGGACAGAAAGCCGATTAGTGGTCACTAGGGGTTGGAGGGAGGGAGGAATGGAGAGTTATTGCTTAAGGGGTATGCATTTCTGTTTGGGGCACTAAAAAACTTTTGGAAGTAGATGGTGGTGGTGGTTGCACAACATGATAAATGTAATTAATGTCACTGAATTGTACACTTCAAAATGACTAAAATGGCAATTTGTTTGTTTTATATATTTTACCATAATTAAAAACAAAATAAAGAGCATGGTGATTGGCACCAAGTGGACCATCCAGGGTCGAGTGTACAAGATGAGATCCTAGAAGCCAGAAAGGCCTTTGTCATCCAGGAGGGGAGCATTTGGGTTTTACTCTAAATGTGTTGGGGAATCATAGGTGATTTTAAGCAAAGGAGAGACTGGATCTCATTTATATTTTCAGTACATGTATCATCAGGAATGGATCTCCTAAACAGAATGCAAAGGGAGAAAGCAATCAGTTAAAGCAAGTGTAATTCCGTTTGTGTAAGGTCCAATCATATGCAAAAATAAACAGGGCATTGTTTGGGGATACATAAAAATGCAATAAAGTGGATGATAAACACAGAATTCAGTATGTGGCTCATGTGGTGGCATTAGACTAGGGGTGTATAATTGGGGAAGAGCACAGAGAAGACTTCAAAGGTATGGATAGGTTCTGTTTCTTAATAGAGGTAGAAGGCCCATGAGTTCTTGACATATTACTATGTATACCTTTTACGTACACCATATAGATTTGTCTCCATGCATGAAATACTTCATTATCCAAATTGTACTGGATTGTAGAGAAGCAAGAGTAAAATCAAAGAGACGAATTAGAAGCTATTGCATAATCAGTGATGATGGCAGGGCAGGAGGGGAAGGGAAGAATCCGTGGCTTGTTCAACAAGGCATATAGTGGTGCCATTGACCGAGGAGATGAAGGCCTCGGGAGGAACTGGTTGGGAAGGTAGGAAATCAAAAGTTAAGTGGTGCCCATATACTGTGATAGTTCTATTAAACATGTGTGGAAATGTCTAGAGGATAGTTGGATAAACGAGACTGGGGTTGCAAGGGGGTCAGGACTAGAGACATAAACCTGGGCATCACTGGTGTCGAGTTGGTGTAAAGCTGGTCTGGATGGCTGAGGCCCTATTTATCATGCTCAGACATTTGTAATTCTTCCTTTTTTTTTTTTTTTTTTTAATTGTGATTTAGGTGAAAGTTTACAGAGGAAATTTATTTTCTGTACAGGAGTTCTTACACATTTTGTTTCATGATATTGATTGCAATCCCCATTACATAACAGCTCTCTTCCCATTTCCTCCCTGTGGTTACCTTTTCCGTGTGTCCTTCTTTCCTAGTCATTCCTGCCCTCTGAGCTATCTCCCTGTGCAAATACTGCCCTTCTGATCTCCCATAGTTGGTTGATCTAAGGAGTGTACCTACCTACCTGGTGGTATAACAGTTCACCTTACATGCCTGTCTATTGTTTGGCCAGAAACTGAGGGAGTGAGTTCATTTCCAGGCCCAAAGGGTGATTGGGGTCCATAGTCTCAGGGGTTTCACCAGTCTTTATCAGACCGGTAATCCTACTCTTTTTTTTTTTTTTTTAAATGATATACTCCTCCTTAAAAACCAAACTCATTGCCACTGAATGGATTCTTTCTCAGCAACCCCCACTGGGTTTCCAAGGCTGTAAATCTTTATGGAAGCAGACTGCCTCATCTTTCTTCCCCAGAGTGGCTGGTGCCACAGACCTTTTGGTTATCAGCCAAATGCCTTACCCACTACACCAGCAGAGCTCCTTCTTCAGAACTTCCAAACCAATTACTGTCGAGTTAACTCCAGTTTATGGTGACCTGTGTGTGTCAGGGTACTATGCTCCACAGGGTTTCCAACAGCTGATATTTTTGGAAGTAGATCACCAAGACTTTCTTCAGAGACACATCTAGATGAACTCTAGCTGACAAACTTTTGGTTAGCAGCTGAGCACATTAACTATTTGCCCTCATTGGTTTCCACTGCTAACTGGAAGGCTGGAGGTTCAAGTCTACCAAGGGGTGCCTCTGAAGAAAAACAAAGATTTAATGGTCTGCTTCTGGAAAATGAGCCATTGAAAACCCTATAGAGCACAGTTCTACTCTGACACCTTTGATACACATAAGGTCACAATTAGAGTCAATTCAATGGCAACTAGTAGTAGGACCTCAGTGACACTAAACTGTCATATGAAAACTCTTGCAATATGAAAGAGAAAAGTGTGGCATTTAAAAACTGTATAAAATAATTAATCAACTCTTTTTCATTTCTAGATTTTAGAAATATTAATTTTCTGCATTCTCCTGTATTGCCATAAAAGAAAAGGAATGAAGCACATTGTGGTTCTGCTAACCTTGGTGGCACTTCTAGGTAAGAACATACTTTGTTTTCTTATTCTTTAATCTAGCCATGCTGAGTCATAAAAGAGATTAGAAGAAAAATACTTGGACATTCTGCTTCTTTCTTATTGTTTCCATGTTTTAACTATGATTTGTAATAAAATAATCAAGTCTTAAATTATGCTTCACATGTCTCTGTCTGTAAATGATGCATGTTTAATTCTTTTAAAAATATATTTAAAGGTGTTTTCTTCTTAGTCATCTTTATTTGCATCCTGACTGCTTGAGAATTTTTTTCTTAATAAATAATTGAAAAGTGTCAAAGGAGGAACAAACTAATGAATCCAATTATAATTGCTGTGTCAGGAATCAGGAAGAAATAGCCTGTTTACAATTTTAAAATAGTTTGAAATATGGCTAATATGAAATATAAATGTAAGCAGTATGTGTTGTGTAAATATCACATTTCTTTCACTCGTTGTTTACCTACTTGTTCGCTTTCTTTCCCAGAGGCACCTTGTAAGATTTGAAAAACTAATGCTTAGATACAATTGCTGTACATATATTAATGTATTCTCACTCTTTTTGTTTCTCTCTCTCCGTCTCTCTCTCATCCATACACACTCATATATACCAATACAAAGATATCTCTCTAATCCTTTGGGAAATTCCCTTTTTTAAAAGTTTATTTATCATTCTTCCTTTGCGTCTTCTTTGCCAACAAGATAATCCATACATTATATGTTGTTTCCTGTTACTTTGTAGGTTGTACTTATACCACTGGGGCAGGCTGCCAGCTCCCACATTAATGGGGTACTGGGATTTTCATTTCTCCATCTCATCAACTAAAACCAAAAACCAAACCAAACTCACTGCCAATGTGTCAATTCGACTCACAGTGACCCCTTCTTGAGTTTTTGAGGCAGTGTCTCTATGGAAGTAGATTGCCTAAGGCATTTGACTGCTAACAGAAGGCTGGAGGTTCAAACCCACCAGCCACTCTTCAGAAGGAAGATTGGGCAATCTACTTCCATAGTAATACCACCTCAGAAGCCCAAGGAGGGGTAGCTATGAGTCGGATCCAACTCGAGGGCAGTGAATTTGGTTTTGGTTTTTCCTTCTAAGGAGTGGCTGGTGGGTTTGAACTGCTAGCCTTCTGGTTAGCAGTCAGATGCCTTAGGCACTATGCCACCAGAGCTCCTTCTCATCAACTAGTGCTCTCTTTAGTATCAGAAAAAAATTTTTTTTGGCATAGCTACTTGGCTACACTGATTTACATTATACTTGCTCAGGTATGCTGATGATCAGGAGATGAGAAAAGAGGTTTTTATTTTTTTCCTTCCAGATAACCAGATAGGGAGAACAAAAGCAAACAATAAAGAGAGAAAACATACATTATATAGGAAAAGATGGGAAATAAATGATATTTTAGATGGCCAAATCAAGATCATACATATCTCTTATGATCATAAATGTAAATGAACATTTACCCAGTAAAAAAAAAAAAAAAAAAGAAAGGTTTTCAAATTGGATTCAGCTATCAACTAGTGAGAGCTCTTGAAATAGCTTCTGCCCAAGCCTCCTGAGTGCCTTCTTCCCCAGTGCCCCTCCCACTCAACCCCCAAGTCTGCCTTGATTAACAATTAAGTATTAATGCAGGAAGGAGCCCTGGTGGTGCAGTGGTAAGCACTTGGCAGCTAACTGAAAGGTCAGCAGTTTGAACCCACCAGCTGCTCTACAGGAGAAAGATGTGGCAGTCTGCTTCTGTAAAGATTAACCCATTGACTTGAATCAATTTTGACTTGCAGTGACCATATAAGACAGAGTGGAACTGCCCCATAGAGTTGCCAAGGCTGTAAATTTTTACCAGGGCTCCACATAAAGATTACAGCCTTGGAAACCCCATGGAGCCATTCTACTCTGCCCTATATGGTCACAATGAGTCAGAATTGACGCAAGGCAAGGGGTTTTATTAGTGCAGGGGCCCCATATGAACGTCTTCTAGTGGTGGAAACAAAGGCGGGCAATCACCTTTCTGATCTGCTAGTGCCTTTGTGGGTTGTGAAATATTTTGGCTAAAACCATAATATCCATCTAAAGCAAAGTAACTTAGGTTGAAAGTAAAAGAAAGCAGGAGGTTATGATATTACTCTACATTAAAATCAAGGCAGAAAAGATTATATGAGACAAGAAGTAGTAATTTATACTGATAGAAAGATACAGTTCACAAGAACATTATATTCTGTTACATAGTGGATAGCACTTAATATATAACAGAAAATCTGCAGAAAATGCAAAGCTAAGTTAATAGAAATAAAGGGGAGTGGGAGACTTCTTTCAGCTCACAGAAGATCAGTGGACAGAAAAATATGTAAAGATGGGGGATCTGAATACTTCTTTGATCTAGTAGCTCTCATATTGAACTCCAAATACAGAGAACAGTGAATAAACCTTCCTTCAAGTGCCTGTGTAGCACTTATAAAAGTTAATCATATAATTGGCCACAAAGAAATCCTTGTTAAATTCCAGAAACTTGAAATAGTACAGACTACCTTGTCAGATCACAGTGAAATTAAACCAGAAAACAATAACGAAAATAGAAACCAGTAAAACCCCCACTACTTGAAAATTTTAGCACATCTTTTTGAAGTACACTGAGTCAAAATAGTAGCCAAGGCTTCATTATAGCATATATTTTAAAAATTACTATGAAAACATTATTAAAATCTGTAGTGTATGACTAACACAGTATTCAGAAGAAAATTCATTGCTTCGAATGAAAGTCAATTAAGCACTCAACTAAAGAAATTAAGGGGGAAAAAAGTCCTAAATAAAGCTGAGGAAAGAAGCAGAAAGGTATTAATAAACACAAAAAATAATGAAATAGGAAATAGAAAAGGAGTAAGTCCAAGAATCAGTTCCTAAAAGAGAATTAATAAAAGATACTCTGTAAGGAAAAAACACAAATACCCAAAATTAGACACCAGACATATATTATGCAAAAAATACAAGAATTTTATGAAGGAAAATAATTAAAAGAAAGAAAAAGAGGAAATTGTTAAAAGCTACATCCTAAAAACTCAAATCTTTAAGGAACAGATTATTCTGATGTTGTTTAAATTATTTGAGGACATGAGAAAGAAAGCTTTTCCTTTTTTAACATACCTGGTATAATACTGATGCCATATCTGAAAAAGGTATCACAGATAATGAACACTGTGAACTAATTTTACTATTAAATACTGAAGACTGAAATTAAAACACACGCTAAATAAAATGTTAACAAATAGAATCCAAGGTGAATAATGTATAATGGTATAGTGGTCTTAATGTAACCAGTTCCTTTTCTTTGCAACATTTAGAACAATTTGTGATTGTATACTGTATTCTACTTAAATATTTACATGTTGTTATAAATGTCTTCTTCACCAGATTCCCTTGAGGGCACAGAACAGGTCTGTTTTACTTACATTATACATATAGGATTTCCTGGAATTGAGTATTATGAGCACACAATAAACATTTGAATTAATTAATCAGTGAATTAGTTAATTATGAGAATGAAAGGATGGTTCTTTAAGAAATCCATTAATATAGTTCATCATGTTAATGACTCAAAGGAGAAAATATCATATAATTATTGCAATAGATACTGAAAAGGCATTTTAAAATTTAATGTCCATTCCTATTCAAAGACTTGGTACAGGAACACAGGGTTCCTTGTGTATTCAAAAGCCATACTTTTCTCAAACCAGAAGCTGAAGAATATCCATGGTGAAACATCAGAGTGTTCTCATTGCAGGAATAAACAAGAAGAGGATGACCTCTCTTCACTTTACACTCTACTGAACTGTTTGAGTATCTTATAGTGATTGCTAATGACTTTTACAAGGAACAAATTGCTTATGAAGATTATGTGTTGTTGTTGTTAAGTGCTATCGAGTCGTTTCCGACTCATAGCGACCCCATGCACAGCAGAACGAAACACTGCCCTATCCCGCACCAACCCCACAATCCCTGCTATACTTGAGCTCATCATTGCAGCCACCGTATCAATCCATCTCGTTGAAGGCCTCCCCCTCTTTCGTCGACCCTCCACCCTGCCAAGCATGACATCCTTCTCCAGTGAATGGTCTCTCCTTACAACATGACCAAAATAGGTGAGACGAAGTCTGGCCATTCTTGCTTCCAAGGAGCATTCTGGCTGTACTTCCTCCAGGACAGATCTGTTAGTTCTTTTAGCAGTCCATGGTACTTTCAGCATTCTTCACCAGCACCACAACTCAAAAGCATCAACTCTTCTTCAGTCTTCCTTATTCATTATCCAGCTCTCACATGCATACGAGGCGATTGGAAATATCATGGCTTGTGTCAGGCGCACCTTAGTCCTCAAGGAGATATCCTTGCTCCTCAGCACTTGAAACAGTTCCTTCGCAGTTGACTTTCCCAATGCTGCACGTCGTCTAATGTCCTGACGGCTGCTTCTGTTGGCATTGATTGTAGAACCAAGCAACGTGAATTCCTTGACAACCTCAATCTTCTCTCCATTTATTGTGATGCTGCTCATTGGTCCAGCTGTGAGGATTTTTGTTTTCTTTATATTGAGATGTAATCCATACTGCAGACTGTATTCTTCAACCTTCATCAGTAGGTGCCTTAAGTCATCCTCACTTTCAGCAAGCAAAGTTGTATCGTCTGTATCTCAGGTTGTTAATGATTCTTCCTCCAATCCTGATACCACGTTTTTCTTCATATAGTCCAGCTTCTTGGATTATTTGCTCAGCATAGAGATTGAATAAGTGTGGAGAAAGGATACAACCCTGACGTACTCCCTTCTTGATTTTAAACCATGTAGTGTCCCCTTGTTCTGTTCGAACGACAGCCTCCTGGTCAAGGTACAGATTCCTCATGAGTACAATCAAGTGCTCGGGAATTCCCATTCTTCTCAATGTTATCCATAATTTGTCATGATCCACACAATCAAATGAAGATTATGTAGCAACTTTGAAAAAGATTTATAATGTTAACGTT